TTAAGTAGTTATATAGGGCAAAATGTGGCAATATAGAAAAATATTTTAAATGTTGTTTTATTATAAAATTATTACAAAAATAAGCTAATCAAAATAAATATTCAGTCAGTATAACTTATTATCTTTTACTGGTAGGTACAAATAATATATAAAAAGTATAAACAAAAGTGCTCTTTTAGTTAGATAATACTTCAAAGAGAGATATAAATAGTAGATGCGACTAATAATTTATTCCTTATTATATTTATATTGTTATAGTTATATTTTTTGTGGCAACATTAAAAATGTATTAAACATTGATTATTAAATCATTAATAGACAATTAATTTAATAATTCATGCCCTATTGATCGAAACATTTTTTAAGGTTTTAATTGAATCTAATAAAATGAGGTAATATCTCAATAGTCGATTAAATCAATAACAACTATAACAAATTGTATCTTGTAAATTAAATTCCGCCCTATCGAATCTCAAAGTTTCTTTGCTCTCCATAAATACATGTATAATATAATCTGTGCACAGATTATGTTGCAGTGATCGGCAGGTTTCTTTTACCTTGCTAAGTTTTTTTCCTACCTTGTGATCTTGTTCTATTTGCTGTTCCAAGAAGAAAAAATCTACTTACTTTTATCGTAATAGACATCAAAACAAAGTATTTTTATATAAAAATAAATCATCTTAAAGTGTAATAGTTACTGATTTAAAAATCAAATAAAATAAACAGTAATCAATTAGTTGTGACCCGATGGAAATAAAGTGAGAACGAAATCATTTATTATTAATGAACGTAAAATATTGTTTTCTCCATGCAATATTTTTATTATTTGTAAATAAACTCTTATCAAGAAATAAAAATGATTATTATTTTTACCAGAATTTTATTCGAAATGCGTGACTCATATAGCATTAACTTATAACTCATGATTTTTATAGCGCAAATTTTAAACTGAAAACCATTAAATTGCTTTAATATTTTTTAATCGTGCAAATAACAAAACATATTTTTAAATCTTTAGAGGCGTGGTAAATTATTACTTTTATGGAAGGTTGTTTATTGTACTAAATGAATTTATTAATGCCTGCTTAATATATAATACAATTATTATTTGTATGTTCTTTGTGTTTATAGATAATAAGTTCATTTTCATATGTAATATTTTTAGTTGGAATAATAACAATATTCCATACTAAACATTTTAATCAGTAGGTGTGTGATGTATAACTACAATAAAATTAATTACGACTTTGGTACAATAATAGGATAACTTGAAACTTTTTTACCAGTCTACTGTTGGCTATCTATTTCCTAGTGATTGAAAAATAATAAAAATAAGGCAGCTGTCTTCTTTGGTAATTTTAAAAATTATATTTATACAGGGTGTCTGAAAATGGCGCACCCACGTGATAGGGGGTTTATTATAAGTATAAAAAAATTACAAAAATATTTTCTGACAAATAGTTTTTAAATGGTTAAAAAATTTAGTTTTAAGAGAATATTTATTTATATAATATCATTAAACACAATTTTCTAATGACGCGTCATGACGTTTCAAAAATAATAAGTTAACTTTCAAAAGATACATCTATTCACCATGTTAATATTCACTCGCCAAGTCGCTGTAGATGCGTTGTACATATATTTTGAAAACCATTCTAAAATAATAACGACGAGGTATACCTACTGTTTATGTGCCATTTTTCGGACACCCTGTATAATGGAAATATGAAAAACTATAAAAAAAAAGTATCTTATGTTACTTTCCGGCCCATATAATATCTCCATCCAAAAAATCACATGGATCCGTTGCAACGCGTTGCTGAAGAAATGCATGCAGGTTTTTAATGTTTAATGTTCCTAAGTTGGACAAAAATTATAGGATTTTCTAAATTAAAAAACTTTTATATAGGTTTTTACCAATAACAAATCTATTTCCACTGTAATTTAAACAATTTTTTATATTAAATACAATTAATTTAAATTAAAAATATAATATCTGGAAAACAAGAGCCAATATAAAAAAATCCCGAAACATGTATTTTTTACTGTACTATTTTTATGGTTCATACCAGATAAATTTAATTTATAATATTTTGTCGCACAATGTAATTTAATATTAATTATAATAATAAATCACATTAATGAATATTTCAATATACAAATAAACATTTGTATACATAGGTAATATTTACTTAGTATTTAACACAATCGTTTATTTTTTATTACGCCAAATTATTTACACATTACTTACATTAATATAAAAACAAAATAAATCATTTTTAATACTAAAATATATACATACATGTAAGGTGCACATGTTTAAATTTATTTAAGTTTATTTTTATTATAAACACAAATAAACAATCCCTGACCCATTATTAACAGTCAAATTGACTTGAAAACAATAAAATTAAATAGGACTCATGAACTCAATTTAAGTTATAAACCAGAATAGTAAGTAATTAATGAAAGATAAAATTCGCATGTTTACTTAGCACTGACAGATAAAATTGTAAGAATCTATGTTTTAAATAAATTTGCACTAAGCAGAGACGTATCCAGATAATATATTTTGTACCATTGTGTCCCTACATTTTTAAAATTTATATTTTAATGTAATTTATAAGATAATGAAGTCATCCTTTTAGTAAATTAGGTAAAAGTAAAAAAATAAGAATGGTCATTTTTCCAAAATATAATAAAGCAGTTTTTGCTTCTTCTAAATAGTATACTACTAATACTACATATATGACATACTTAGGCTTATTTACAAATTTGCCGCCTATAAAATAAACTAAATTCCGCCTACACTGAGAAAAAAATGGTAATTTCAAACAATTATATTTTATAGATACCAAATTTAATTATTTGAACAATAAACGAATTTGAATCGAATATAATTATGAAATACAGTTTTATTTTAAATATTTTTTTTTCGATTCAAATTCCATGTTGTTTAAATAATTAAATTTGGAATTAATTAATTGTATTTTTTTGACATTTACAATTTTTTCCCAGTGTATGCTATATATTTTTTACATTACTAAAAGTTTTTAATAAAACATGCAATACGAAATGAATGCAATCGTTTATTTTTATATAAAAATGGGTTAATAATAACAGTAGGAAAATTACTAATAGTAAATTTACAAAAACATTTGGGGAAAAATAGTGGATAGGATAGGATTCTACAAAGTTAAATTTCATATTAACATATTTAACACTCATATCCATACTTATATAGAAAGACGCAGTTCAAAAGTCAAATTATTATACACCGACGTACAATAATGACAATGCATTGAAATTACATAAAAAGAGTGCTCCCCACCATGCATTTAGCTTTAGAAATCAGTGCAGATAACTATACAATACATACATTTTTACACATAACCTCTAATCCTAGACCAAACCAATAGATATATATCTTATGTCGGATTTCGGGACAGTATTATAATATTTAGCCAAGCCAAGAGAGGGCGATTTTTATAGTTTTTTGACGTTTGAAAGTTTTTGACCTTTTTCAATTATATCCGTAGTTATCGCATTTTTGTAAAATTGGTGTATTTGTGCGTTTTTATTGTGTATTGTTTCTAAGGTTTGTATTATAATAATAAGTTATAAACGACACTTTGACCGAATCATAATCTTTCAGATGGTAGGCATGTATTGTTTAATAAAATTTATGGATTTAACAGTATTCTTTAATTTCAAAATATTGATCAATTAGAGTTACTTTTGGCAGACTATCATAAATAACAAAAACAATGTTTCTTACCATAATATGGTAAGAAACATTGTTATATTATATGAATGGTACTTTTGGGAATAAGTATGGTAATGATTCAACAGTTTTACAAATTAAAAAAATCACAGATTTTACAAATGAATACTAAATACACTTGTTTTACATTTACATGCATTTGTTTTTTCATTGCTTTTCTATAAGTCTGTGAATTTATTTAGTTTATAAAAGTTGCTTGAGAATTAATAAACAGCATGGTAAATACATGGTAGAAAACAAAGTTATTGTTTTCGTTACTCATTACATTTAAAATCTAGCCGCAAGTTACATTTTAAATATAGCTCCATTAAAGTAACCAATCAAATACGTTTATTTTTCACCAATTAAAAGCTATGATGGCAACAGTTGTCTGTAAACACGTAATTTAATTTTTAACCAAGTTCAGAGAGGGCGCTTCATTTGGCTCCAAACTATATACTCTTTAAGATAGTCATCTATTGGATTGGTTTAGGCCTCTAATATTACATCTGTCAAACGTCATACCTATGACAAAATATAGCAAACTTGAGAATTTTTAGTAAGTAAGCACACAATTATTAAACGCTTTAAAAAAATTAGTATAATAAGCGCTTTCTCCGCCTAGAAAAAAAGTCCGCCTTTCAAAGTTTGCCGACTGGAAAAAATTGCCGCCGTAGGCTATACCTACAGCTATATCATATAAATCATGGCATGGTAGTAGTTAATTAAAAAAATTTGTCCCATAGAGTTTTAGTACAATATTACTAATACTTTTTTATTATGACAGTTTAAGCTTAAAAAGTCATTGCAAAGCTCTAAATACGGTTCTGTAGTAGTTGTTTTTGCAAAATATAACAATGGATTTTATCCTAAAAAACTACATATTATAAATAATTGTCAGTTTAGGATTATACATTTTTCGAAAGAAAAAACCGCAAACAATAGAAGCACGCTAGGTGCTTTCCTGGCTCTTATGACTTTTATCATAATAAGCCAATCAAGGTTATATTCTAATATAAAATTATCTTATTGGATTACGCAAGGATGTTTGCTACTTCATTTGTGTGCTCAAAACTGCTTCAGTTAAGAAATGCCCGCGGCTCCTGCTGCATTTTGAACAGCGCTTCACAGAAAATTTAACGGTGTCATCGAAGATTTGTGTAATGACTTAATTGACATAACTGCAGCCTATTTCTTATTTCTTGTGCAACTACCAGACAGACACGGTGAATACAAAATGACAGGCGAACGCAAGAAAAGCCGACGTATGTCGGTTAGAAGCTTTAACTGGGCAATAGTCAACACCATGGTAATACTTTTTTTTTAATACAAAAAAATGAATTTTATAGAACATAATACACTGCGCGTCAAAATTAACGTATAATAAGTAAAAAAATTCTTACTCTAAAACGCCTTTAGCATTCTTTATGAAATTTTGTTTAAAAATACTTCGTTAACGTTTTTGAGGGTTTTTGAGAAAATATTTTTAAAGCCCTTTTATTTCAAAAAACAACTTTTAGGGAATTTTTTTAAGTAAATAAAAAATATGCTGTTAAATACCGTATTTTAGTATACCCTGAAAATTTTGTACCAATTAAACGAACAGTAACGAAGATACAGCGCTTCAAAGTCGGTAAAAATTACCTCTTTTTGATTATTTTACTAAAAAGTGGTCGCTTCTGACGACTTTGAAGCGCCGTATTTTCGTTACTGTTCGTTTGATTTGTACAACTTTTTTATGGTATACCAACAGAAATACGGTCTTTCACAGCATATTTTTTATTTACTTATTTCCCTGTAAAAGTTTTTTTAAGCGTTTTTTATTATTAAATAAAACGGCTTAAGGATATTTTCTCGAAAAACCCTTCCTTAAACACGTAAACTGAGATATAAGTTAAAGTATTTTTATCTAAAATTTTATAAATAATGGTTAATTTTGACGCGCAGTGTATTAGCAAGTTTTGGTTTTTAAAAAATGTAAATTATAAAACAGAGGTACCTATATGAAATTTTTAAGAAAAAATAAAACATCTCATATTTGCATTTTTTACAGAAAAAATGTTGTTTTAGCAAAAATAAATAAATTAGCATTTTACATGATATGTCCAATAATGATGTGTCTTTAAAATTGAATTTTAGTACCTAACGCGTTTGAACTGTTAATGTTGAAGTTTACGACGGTGTTAAATATTTATTTAACTTTGATTCTCAAAGCTTTATAATATACTTTTTATACTCCCATGTTCAAAACACAAGTATCGTATATGTTTTCATCACAAGTGATCTTGTGCGTTTTAGTCATGGGTTGAAGTTATAACTATAGTTGTGAGTAGCGTGACAACTTGTCACATGTCAATTGTCATACAATCTGGTTTGTCGTAAAAATAAATTGCCCTTCATGTAAAATAATAATGTGGAAGTTATTTTATTATCTTAGTAGAGTACAAAAAATATCTTAATAAATGTGAATGTTTCAATAAAACTCTCAAGGCATTGCCAAGTTAATAAAAATATCGTTTAGATTTTTCTTTGCAGAAACCATCGACCCAACACAAATATTTCAAAACGACTTTTTTTATTTATTGCTCATTATATAAAAGTATGAAAACAAAATGTGGTTAAATCTAGATTTTATTAAATATGTATACTATGCAATTAATTCAATTTATATTCATTAGTCTGCATAATGCATAATATTATCATTGCAGTAAAATGTGTTTTTCGTTTTTAAATAATTAACTAAATTTGTGTGGCGTCCAAGATAATATTTATGGGGTTTTTCTACACACAGATAAGGTTGTTTTGTAATAATGGAAAATTTTAAGTTTTTTCATCATTTGGCATAAACAAATAATATTTTAAAAGGACCGAGAGAATTTTCCTTTTAAAAATATTTTATTTTGTAAATTTATCCACTAACTATTCTTTAACGTATTTTGATATTGTTTGTTTTGTTTTTTGTTGCTTTTTAGTTTTTTTTTAATATTAGGAAAATTTGGAATTCATATTTTATTTAATTTAATTTTTTTTATTAAAAAAGATTGGAAAATTATTGTAATTTTAGTAAAATATTAGATTGTCTAAAGTAAGTTAACCCTAATATGCATTTGTTGATAATCTGGAGAACCGTTCTTGATAATATAGAATGTAGACCGAGCAACAATTATAATGTGAATAAAAGTTATTTATGTTATTATGTCAAGAAGTAAGTCTTTTTGTGCTGAGCAGAGGGCTACAATTGAAGGGGCAAGTGGATGAATGGGTTAAGTAATATTTTAAATAATAAGGGAAAGAAAATATTGTAATTGGCATACCAAATTATTTACAATCGCAATATTGTCTCTTCTTTCCTAATATAAATGTAACATAACACCTTTATTAAAAACTTGCCCCTTCAATTATTTGTAACACAAAAATACACTTCTTGGTCCAACAGCATATATGCTGTATATATGTATACAACATTTTATTTTCATGGCATTTTATTTGTTAAACGATACTAAAAACATACAATAATATTCTTATTAAAAGTAAAAAGGGGGGTTATGTAGAACTGACAGAAGTCACATTTTGTGTTGATCCATAGAATTAAATAATGAATTTTACTCTCTAGGCTGTAAAAAATCTATCCCGATAGGTATAAATCATTTTTAAATCTTTAGGGTATAATCAATTACTTTGGTAACAATAAAGTTTAAACTGTAAGTTATAGACAGATCGAAGATATTTTTTTGGTAAGTATTCTTAACTAAGAATAAATCTTTAGTCGTAAGTATACACTAGTAGGTAATGTTTATTAGATTAACTATTCTGCTCATCATTATTTACAAGTCCCAGTCATATTTATTGTTATTTAATTTTACAAATTATAAACCAATGTCAAGGATTAGCATTAGGTACTAGATATAACTTGAAATTCGTTATCACTAAATCTGTAATTTAAAACTTAAATGATGTTTATAGTAAAGATTAAATGTGCAGTATAATTATTGTCTATTATACAGAAAACCTATAATTATTTTATTTTTTATTATAGGTTTTAAACTATAAATTAAAATTAACAATAGAAATTAAACAAGCTAAAATTTTATAAATTAATAATTAATGCATTTGTAATAAAACTTATAGATATATTTTTTCAATTACATGCTTATGATACATTTCGCTTAACATTATTTCGACATAAACTTTTGTATGTATTATTAATATCTTATTTGTTAAGGCTTTGTTCTTATTTGCGTCTATGATATAAATTAAAAGAACATTATATTTAATTGCGGATTACGACTAGATAATTAAAACATTGTTTTACTTAATTGCGTTTGTAATTATAAAAAGCAGACCGCTAAGAACTAAAAATGTTTAATTTATAATTACCAGCACAAAAAGTGACATCATTTTATCATAAGGGATCATATAAAACCTACGCAAAGAGGAGAAATGGAAAACTTTTGCCTAGCATGATAATACTATTATGTAACAAGATAAGGGGAGGGGGGTCTGAACTAACGTGATGTTTTAAAACACATTTTAGTATTATTTTTGTACCATGGGAGAAAGGGTTAAAAAATACGTGTGTATTATAGGACGTATTTTATGTATACTAGTAGTAGTAGTAGTATACATAAAATACGTCCTATAATACACACGTTGTATATATACAATGGATAGTCCCTAATTATTTTTTTTTTTTTAATTTTGGCTGAAAAAATAGTGGGTATTTAAATTTGTCAAAAACTACAAAATTAATTTTATTTTGTAACAAATTTTAATAACTTTATCTCTGACACTTGCCAATTATTGTATATAATAAATTATTATGTGTCAGATTTGATAAACCCCATTTTAGTCAGAGTTTTTATTAGGCATGAGCAAAGTTTGCGAGCAAGTCTTTAATAAAATTAATGCATTACAAAAGTTTATTACTGAGTTCTATAGTATATATACTATACTTTTTCTACGACAAGTATTATCATAACAAACATTTTTTTTAAATTAAATTCAATATGTTTATAGAGCGATATCTATACAAAAATAGAGTAACCAATATGATGTTAGGAATCTGTTTTACCCATTTTTAAATTTTGTCAGTTTGTCAAATTTTTCTGTAAAAATCAAAATTTCTTTCTTGGCAATTAACCAAAAACCGTTCAAATCTGACATTTTTTTACAGTGAAAGTAAAGAGGATGTTTTTATGGGTACTCCACCCGAAAATATAAGAAGAGAATCTTGACACGTGAACCAAACATGGCCGACATTTGTTTGTTTTGTTTGTTGTCTATTAGTAGCTTAGAAGCTATTTATTAAGATTAAAACGGTGACCGTTACAACTGTCATTTTGGTTTAGACATAGTTCAAACCTGACATTACAAGTGTTTATTGTAATAAATTGTTAAGAATTGTTTAAAAGACAACTAAATAATAGTAATAACAACCAAAAATATACATTTTTATTATTTTCAAGGTATTTGTGTTTGAAGACTTTTTCGCGACACGTTTAGGTCCAATTTGCACCAATAGGATTTGTGTTACAGTTTAGAGTGCTATTAATATCTCATGGCGGGTGACCTTGGTTGCGCAGAAGTCTTAAATCCGTAAAATCGCGCTATTACTCGCCGATCTAAAAACATACTACCCTAGGGTTGGCAATAGTGATGGGTCGTGATTTTGATAACGTGATTTTGAAACGTTATTTTTAAATCACGTTCCGGAACGTTCCTAAATATAACGGAACGATGTGACAGCGGATCGAACTGAATAGAAACAGAGAATCCGACCATCGAATGAGTGAACGGAGCGAGTGGGAAGGGAACGACGTGAAACATGGAACAGAACGAACGTCGCTAACGTCGGAACTGTTTAAAGGCGCAGTTACCTCGTTTCGTTTCTTGTTCGATTTTCGCGGAGCGCCGACTTTAGCTGAACTTTATCGGTGCATATAACCAATATAACAAGGCGGGTGGAATCGTTCATAAACGGTGCATAAAAATTTAAATTAAATTAAGTAGATGGAATCAAATATACCTAATATTGTACAATTATTAAAATATAACACCAAAAGTTACTAAGAAGGTTTTTTCTTACTAGATAATCTTTATTAGAGATAGACAAAACATTCAAGGAATCAACAGGTTTTTGTGTATTAAAGGGGTCCATAGACGTTTAAAAATATTTTGCTTAATATTACTGCACAAAAAATTGATTATTGTCCCTAGGCAATCAGACAATATAAATAAATTAGGCAATATTGTCAACACAATGTTAACTAAATTGCTTAATAAAACATATTGTGCAATAATATTGATAGT